TATATATATAGTCTGTGAAAGTAGGTATATGCGTATTTGTACTATTTGATTAGCTGTATAGAAAGGTCCAACCAGGGACTGGAGTTGTGAATTACCTTTAACTATATACTCTTAGTGCAACTCATCAGCTGCAGACACTGCTCTGTTGCTATGCTTGTCTGCATTGTCCCGTCAAATAAATTAAGAAAAATAAATAGCTGAAAAAATAAACTTCAACAACGTAATTTGTCGTAATACGCCATCGTAAATAATAACTGTGCCAACAAATTAAAATTGTGCAAAACATGAACCAAATTAAAGCTGTGCGAACGATGAATAACAAATGTGCAAATACAACTGGAATTATAAATGTGCATAAACGGAGGAAGCAATAATAACAGTTAGAGATGACAGATTTGTTGTGGAGTGTGTCGGCCTGTGGCACGACAGATTTGCTGTGGCAGTCTGTTAGAAAAGCTGCTCCACTGTCTGTCCAGTGTTTGGTAGCAGGGATGTTCTTCCCTCTGTCATGGAAAAAAGATAAAGTGAGACAGGAAGTCCCATGTCAGGGATGTTTACCTGTTTATTACAAAAGAAGTGTCAAGCAGAACGTCCATGGATGTTCTGCTTGACACTTCTTTTGTAATAAATAGATAAAAATCTCATCCCCTGCAGGGGATGAGACAGATCTAATCTGTCTAACGGGAGCGTGTCAGAGAGTTCTTCATCAGTGAAACACAACTCCATCATTATTGTCAGAACTGGAAGTTTTTTACATCTGTTTATTACATGTTTAGCCTTTTAAATCACCCTGGCACCTACACCTAAGAAAAAAGAAACTAAACAAATCAATAAAAATGATTATATTTACCTTTTTTTATTATTATTAGTTATTATTACATTTTTTTTATTTTGTTTGTCTAAAGCAGAGGTGGACTATCTTGATCCTTCAGGGTATTTATCCTGCATGTTGCACTTGTTTCCCTGCTCCAACACACCTGATTCAGTGATTGAAACTAGTTAATTACTGATTCATTCAGATCAGGTGTGTTGAAGCAGAAACAATAAAAAGATTTAGGACAGTGGTCTTTGAGGATCAGGATTGGACCCCCCTGGTCTAAAAGCTTCAAGTTTCAAATCATTCTTTTGTTTATCTTAATACAGGGTCAAGTTTTATTTGTCAGATCTTTGCGTGATAAGTCCGGTTTTTATTAAAAACAAGAAAGTTTAGGTTTGATCAGTACATTTAGTTCGGGGCTTTTTTTGCGCTTCTGTTCTTCCAGGATCCCAACCCGTTCCTTGGTCCCTCCATGGAGCCTGATGCTTTGCTGCGTAGTTCTGTTCCTCCTCTGGCCAGCAAGGAGCAGGGCCGGCTGGGAAGTTCAGCTCGAACCCTCGCCCCACTTCACTTCCCGTCCGAGCTGCTTCCCTTCGACGAGGCTCTGAGGGACGTGTGCACCAGCAGGCCCCTGATGGACGGCGATGTGGTGGCCCGACACGGCGGGCAGCTGCTGGACATCAAAGCTGCCGAGCGGAGAGGTAAACTCGTTTCTGTTCAGGGGGTCCAGCTCCTTCTGCACGTGGGATACTGACGCTGTGTTTGTGCCGACAGAAATGGAGAAACAGATGAAAATAGAAAACTTGTTTGTGACCTGGCAGCAGAGGTCAGCGCAGTCCAACACGCCTATTTCTGTAAGTATCCCACATGATGCTTGCAGATACGTCTGTGGATGAGAGTTAAAACTAAACTGTGGAAGGTTTTTGTCTTAGCATGTCTGGAAAAGTCTGGACTTGGATTTTAGTATTTTCCAGGTCTGGATGAGTCTGGAAAAAAGACAACTGAGTAGCCGACGCTATATTGCCTTATATGTATTAGCTCAGCGCTAGCGCAACAAACTAATAAGCTAAACTGAGGTCCTTTATCCATATTTTCAGTTTCAGACTGAGTCATTTTTGCGTTCCCCTCTCTGTCATGTGGATGGAGGACCTCAGTGATGAGAGGAGAATGTGTAGCACTGAGCTAATACATATATATATGGTGATAGCATCGGGGCTAACGCTAAAGCTAACAGGCTAAGCTGAGGTTCTTCTTCCATGAAGCAGCTCTGTTGTCCTCCATCYATATTTTCAGTTMCARGYTGAGTCATTTCTACCTTCTCCTCTCTGTCAACGCTCTCTGRTTTCATTTAAAAGAGTCGATCATCAGATATTGTCCAAGATTAACCTTCAGGGTGGATATAGCTCACTAGCAGCCTCACACCGAGGACCTATCCATGTCATCATTTACCCAGAATGCTTTGTGTGTAAATAAAATGGCCCCGTCCGTGTAATATATTTTTAAACTTATAGTTTAAAATTTTATAAAACTAAACGTCCTACAGAATTTTTACAGTCTTTATTTTACAGTTAAAATATATGTTTATTAAACAAAATCTAATGTTACAACTAATCATGGATCCCTTTAAATATTTTCCATTGTAACTTCTTCAGAGTCAGGTTGGGATCAGATTTGTGTGGACTTACTGTTTTTTCCTGGTGATATTTTGCTATAATAACACCTGAACTCAACAGGGAACAGACCTGGAGATTCTGAAGCAGTCATCGAGACTTGTCCACTACTGCGCCACCCCTCTTCTCTTTGACCCCGTCTTCCGTAAGCAGATCCAGGAGGAAGCTACAGCTCAGCCTCTTCTAAAGGTCTGTGGGGATCGTGTTCAACATGTTAGTCTTTTTTTTTCACCACACATTTTTTACTCTGTTTCTGACTTTTGCGTCATTTATTATCCCCATCAGAAAAGGCACCGCTCCAGTGACTCGACGGCGTCGGGCCGGGATCGCAGCTTCAGCACCGATTCCACAGAGATGCTTCCCTGCAGACTGAAGGATGAACCCTGGCTGCTGGAGATTTCCAGCAACTTCCTGCAGCAGTACGTCCAGTACCTGCAGAGCATGGGTTTCATTCTGGTGCAGGTCCGGCCTTCGTCTCCGGCTCGCAGGTCTGCTTCATGTCCCCAGCTGACTGTAGTTCCAAAATGCTTTGTTTATTCATTTAAAATCATCGCAATGATCTAAAATCATTGTATGTCAGTAGATAAACACTAATGGATCTATCTCTTCCTCTGTTCAGTCTCTTTTCTCCCACTTTTTATCTTTTGACATTAAGTAGCACCGCTCCACACAATCTGTGAGGCTCACCATGAGTTGTGTCTTATCCTAACACCCCCTCCCTCCCTGCCTCCTTGCAGCATCGCCCGGGCCCGTGCTGCCATGCTGAGCTCCATGTCGATGGAAGGAAGGATGTCTTTTTCTTATGTGAAGCAGAAGAGTGAGGACAGCCCTAAGGTTGGTGGCCATCTGAGAAATACACACTTGGTTCTTCACACTCACACACACACACACACACACACACACACACACACACACACACACACACACACACACACACACACACACACACA